CAGCCTGTTCTACAGAGTGAGTGCCAGGACAAGTTTCCAAGCAAACCAGAGAAACCCTGTCTTGAAGAACCAAAAATCAAAAAACAAAAAAAAAAAAAGGAAAAACATCTTCAACAAATAGTGTTGGCATAACTGCTGGATGCTGAAATGTAGAAGATTGCAGATAGATCCATATCTATCACCATGCACAAAGTCCAAATGGATCAAAGACTTCAACATAAATCCAGCCACACTGAACTTCTTAGATGAGAAAGTTGGAGGTACCCTTGAACAAATTGATACAGGAGACCACTTCCTGAACATAACACCAGTAGCACAGACACTGCGCACAATTAATAAATGGGTCCTCCTGAAACTGAGAAGTTTCTGTAAGGCAAAGGACACAGTCAACAAGATGAAATGGCAGCCCACAGAATGGAAGATCTTCACCAACCCCATATCTGACAGAGGGCTGATTTCCAAAATATACAAAGAACTCAAGAAGCTAGTCTCCAAAATACCAAACAATCCAATTAAAAAGTGGGGTACAGAACTAAATAGAGAATTCTCAACAGAGGAATCTAAAATGGCTGAAAGACACTAAAGAAAGTGCTTAACCATCAGGGAAATGCAAATCAAAACAACTCGGAGACATCATCCTACTCCTGTCAGAATGGCTAAAATTAAAAACAAACAAACAAACAAACAAACAAACAAAAAAACCACCAATGACAGTTTATGCTGGAGAGGATGTGGAGAAAGGGGAACACTCCTCCACTGCTGGTGGGAGTGTAAACTTGTACAGCCACTTTGGAATCAGTATGGCAATTCCTCAGAATAATGGGAATCAGTCTGCCACAAGATCCAGTAATTCCTATCTTAGGAATATACCCAAACGATGCACAGTCATACAACAAGGACATCTGTTCAACTATGTTCATAGCAGCATTATTTGTAATAACCAGAACCTGGAAGCAACCTAAATGCCCCTTAGCAGAAAAAAAAAAAAAAAAAAAAAAAAAAAACAATGGAATCTTGAAATTCGCTTGCAAATGGATGGGACTAAAAGAAACCATCCTGAGTGAGGTAACCCAGTCACAAAAAGACAAACATGGTATGTACTCACTCATAAATGGATTTTAGACATAGAGCAAAGGATTACCAGCCTACAATCCATACCTCCGGAGAATCTAGAGCCAAGGAGGACCCTTAAGTGAGACATACATGGTTCCTTGGAGAAGGGGAAAGGAACAAGATCTCCTGAGCAAATTGGAAGCACCGGGAAGGGGGGGATAGGAGAGGGAGTTAGGAGAAAGAGAAGGGGAGAAGGGAGGGAAAGACATGAGGGACCAGGAAGATTGAGTGGGGGGCAAGAATAGAGGAGAGCAAGAAAAGAGCTACCTTAATAGAGGGAGCCATTATAGGTTTAAAGAGAAATCTGGCACTAGGGAAATGTCCAGTGATCTACAAGCATGGCCCCAACTAAGAATCTAAGCAATAGTGGAGAGGCTATCTAACCCTTCCCCTATAATGAAATTGATGGCTACCTTATATGCCATCCTAGAGCCTTCATCCTGTAGCTGATGGAAGCAGAAACAGAGACCCACTTCTAAGCACTGACCTGAATTCTTGGAATCCCGTTGTAGAGAGGGAGGAGTGATGAGAAAAGGGGTCAACTCACAGAAACAGCTAACCTGAACAAAGGGGAGCTCATAGACAGCTGGGAAACCAGCATAGGACGGAAACAGGCTTCCTGAACATGGGTGTCAGTTAGGAGGCCTGTGCAGTCTATGGGGCCTCTGGTAATGGAACAGTATTTATCCTAGTGTACAAATGGGCATTGGGATCCCATTCCCCATGGAAGGATATTCTCTCAGTCTAGACACATGGGGGAGGGCCTAGGCCCTGCCCTAAATGATGTGACAGACTCTTACAATCCCCATGGAAGGCCTTATCATTTCTACGGAGCAGAAGAAAGATGGGATGGAGTCAGTGGGATGCATGGGAAGGAGAGGGAACTGGGATTGATATATAAAATAAGATTGTTTCTAATTTAAATAAAAAGTATTTATTTAAAAGGTGGCAGTAATAAGTAACAGATATTAGATAGAATATTAACAATGTTAATACATGTTTCTCTTCCCTCAGTGGAAACTGTCCTGAAATTGGCATTTGTTATTTCCATAGCTATACTGAAATGCCTAATAACTGATATAATTTCATGTTTTAAAACTAGGTTACAGAGTGTGTTTCTATAATTTGCTCTTAATGTGTGAACCTCTAGTTTTTCTTTCTTTTTTTTTCCCTTTTGGTTTTCAAGGTAGGGTTTCTCTGTGTAGCCCTAGGTGTCCTGAAACTCACTCTGTAGACTAAGCTGGTCTCAAACCAGAGATCTGCCTGCCTCTGCCTCCCACATGCTGGGATTAAAGGCAAACCTCTAGTTTTTCATCAACATCAATCTTATCTGTGTCTAATCTGTTCTGAAGCTTGTTTAACATCTGTTAGTTGATGTCTTTTTTTTTATGCAAGAACAAAGAACAAATTTATTTCCCAGAATATACAGTTGGTCACCTGTTCAAAATGTCAATGACCCTGACAGGAGCATGCAGGCTCCTTTTAAGCACAGGAGAATTTCACTAACAGGTCATCTCAAAATGACCAAGCAAGCAGCAGTTACCCTAG